AGTTGATATGTAGATATGGAAACGCGAATTTGGAGAGGGTGTACGGAACGGCCGGGTGTACGGAACGGCCGGGAACTACGTTATCGGATTGATGTTGCTGAGTCATTCTCAGCTGATCACATGATATCGCCCCACTGTGTATCGTATCAAGGCACGTGATCCATGCGTCACTTTTTTTTGTGGTTCTTCAATACAAACCTCACGATTGTCCGGATCCAGCTGGAGGTGCACGCCTCGCTGCCTACACTGCTGCCTACACTCTAACTGTACCCTGCCCGACACTCCTCGTGATATCTGCCAAAAGAAACAAATCGGCGCGCCAAATTTGCGTCTCGGAAAACGCCCCTGCATGCAAGACAAGTAAATTCCGTCGATCTGAGGCGCGCATTGCGCAGTCGATAAGAAGAACCACCCTCATTTCTTTCACCTCTGCTTTTCGCTCCAATTCCCGCTTGCTTCACCTTCATCTTCGCCATCACCTTCGTTTATCTTTCGTCTTCATACTTCCGCCGCCTAAATGAAGACTATGAAGTCACGCCGTCCTGGAGGTGACCGCGGGGGTATCCGCAAGCGGGGCGCTACTCGTACCGACCGCGATGGTGACATGGACATGGATGGTCCTGGTGGACGTGGAGGCAAACGCCGCGGTGCGGGCCAAACTCGTCCAAGTGGCTCTGGCTCTGGATCTGGCGCCGGAGTGTCTCGTCCAACTCGCCCTGGCGGTGATCGGCTCCAGGCACGCGACAAGACCTTGAATGCCATCCAAAAGGCACTCCTGGACAGTCGCGAAGCCCAGGCAAATGTTCGCAAGAGCAAGACCAACGCCTCGGGAAACCTGGAGTCTTACTCTGTTCGCGGCTGGAAGACAAGCAATGCCGCCAATCATCGAGATGGTGGTGTTGGCAGTTTGCTTAGCTTCCTCGAGAGAAAAATCGACGCCCTCACCAAATCAGGACCGCGCGCGAAGATTACAAAGGTATGTGCAACATTTGCAGGCGCACTCCTCAGTCACCAGCTACGACATCTTCCGATTCGTTCATTCTCCAATTGGCCAAGGAGGCATAACGGTCATGGGGCTTCATGGCCCTTCTCGTCCTTCTAAGTGACATCGGCGCCCAAGGTATCTTGATGCCTTGCTAACATTTCGATAATAGTCGCGCGTCGAAGGCGACTCCCTTGTGGTTTCCGTTCGGCCCGAGCTGGCTGACAGAATCCTCCGTGTGAACGGCGCTCTTTTTGCTGGAGTTCGTATCGTCGTCGAGCCCTATGATGGCTCTTCAAGCGCCGCGATTGATCGTGAACTGGGTACCCCCTCGAGCACATCTCCGTCTACTGCCGACACTAAATCCAAGATGACGATGATCCTGTCTAAGCGATACTACCCCGACACGAAGCTCCTCGACCTCTCCAAACTTTCGTCAGACCCGGACCTCGTCGCCATGGGTATCTTCAACCAAACCTCCACCGAATCAAAGTTCTTTCCTGCCTTGATGAAGGTCTGGGAGATGGGATTCACCGATGCCAAGCAGCGACGCGAAGCGGTCGAGAGTGTGAGCTTGGCTCATAATTCCTTGACAAACGTCACTGCTGTGACCACACTCTCTCAGACTTTCCCTGATCTCAAGAACTTGGATCTCTCCCATAACAACCTGAAGGATGATCGCTCAATGAGCGCATGGCGCTGGAAGTTTCGCAACTTGGAGTTTCTTGATTTGACCGGGAATCCCTTTAGTACGGAGCCCACTTTCAAGGAAACGTTGATGAAGTGGTATCCCAGCCTGCAAACCCTGAACAATGTGCTTGTACGCACGCCTGAGGAAATTGCGGCGCAAAAGAAAACGCCTATCCCGGTTCAGCCTCCACACTTCCAAGACGAGGGCCAGATTGCCGAGAATTTCATTCGAGCATTCTTTGTCCGCTTTGATAGTAACAGGGAGGAACTCGCCCGGAGTTTCTACGACAGTCATTCGGAGTTCACCATGAACATTAACACATCTGCCCCTAAGGCGCAGCAGACCGAATCTGCCGGATGGGACCCTTACATCAAGAAGAGTCGAAATCTCCTCAAAATCAACCATCTCCCCGCTCGCATGTCTCGCTCCTACATCGGTACGACCAAGGTCCTTGAAGTTTGGAAAGATCTCCCCGAGACTCGCCACCCCGATGTGACCGCTCGACCTGAGGAATATTTGATTGAATGCTATCCTGTCCCTGGCTTACCAGACCTCACCGGACAAAGCCCCACCGGCGTCGGCGGTCTTCTGGTCATGGTTCATGGCAAGTTTGAAGAAAGTGTGGCAGGAAAAGTTGAGACACGCAGTTTCGACCGCACGTTTGTCATCGGTCCTGGCAGTGGCGTAGGAGGCATTCGCATCATCAATGACATCCTATGCCTTCGAGCTTACGGTGGCCATGGAGCGTGGAGTCCCGAGAACCAGGCCATCCCATACGCAACTGGCCCCGCCGCCATCGCCGCTGGTGCGAGCGGTCCTGTAACTGCCATTCCTGCCGCGCCCCTTGCGGCGGTGCCTACGCCTGTACCTGCACCCACTCCCGCTCCCATCCCTGCGCCACTTGCTCAAGCCGGCCTTCCCCCTGGATACGGGGTACCGGGCCCTGGAAAAACCGAGACTCAGGTGCAGCAGGAGCAGATGATCGCACAGATGAGTGCCAAGTCGGGCATGACGCTTCAATTCTCGGAAATGGCACTATCCGGAAATGGCTGGAACTTTGAAGCCGCCTGGAAAAACTTTGAGGAGCTCAAGGTACGTCTTCTTTCAGATGCGAATTGCGCATGTGGCACGCAAGCTTCAAGAACCATCAGTTGAACTAACATACTGTTCTTTAGGCATCGGGCACTCTACCCGCCAGTGCCTTCTTAGCTCCAGTCTAAGGGACGTCTTGCTTTGGGTCAACGCCGATTTGGTTTGTCCACCTCTTTTGGCTACAGCACATCCACACTACAATGTTGCATGCGATCTCAGCTTCCTCCTGTGATCGCCAAGGCGTTTTGATCTTGAAAATTTGGGCGCAGTAAAGTCGCTGTTGAGATTTATTGCGTTGTCCCGGGCGAACTGGCAGATGGTTTAATGAACATGTATTTTAGTCACCAAACAAATGAGCCACGAAAAGGCCACGAGATCTCACGACTTTATTGTCGCGTTCTTAGTCCACGCCTAGTGGAAATGAGTTCAGTGTAGCATAATGAGCATGTAAACTTGTGGTTTCGACATTCTTGTCTTTGACTTGAGCCGGATGAGAACCTCCAGAACAAGCACAATGCTAATTACCAAGCTTGAGGCAAGCCGGCTGCTTTGCGATACTGGCCAGAGAAAAAGGATCCTGTAAGCTGACCACGCTCCATATACCCAGACGTTATCCAATACGCATGTCGAATGTGCCAAGCCAAGTGGCGAGTTGCCTTTGTTTTGTTTTCTGACTACGACCTCTATCAGAAACCATCTGATGAGAGAGATACACGGTCTGCAAATACAGGCACCAAAAAGAAATCAATCGCGTCACCTGCAGGATTCGAACCTACGCTCACGAATGAACGCCCTGGCAGCGGGACAATCTAGTCGACTGTCCATTAGCAGGGGCGCGCCTTAACCACTCGGCCAAAGTGACATGTGACTTGTAAATGTATGAATTTCTTAGATACATGATCCTGCGAAACTTCTCTCTCAGTGGTTAACGCAGCGTCGGGGTATCGCAACGTGCGCATGGTCGCGGTCAAGGAATCTCACTTGAGCTAGCGCACGGAAGGCGGTGGGTGACCTTTTCTGATCATGAGTTTTTCGTAAACTTTGGAGGGACCTATGTCAAGTTGTGTATCTTCTTGCACATGACACGCGCATGAGACTTGCTTGCAATATATAGAAAAACACAACCAACGAAGAAGGCATGAAAGTTGCGCTACGAAGACGAAGGTCTTTGCCGACGTCACTTTTTGGCTGATTGATTATTGTACAATTACTGAACAATCCGTGTCGAGGTGATTAGAACATATCACGATGCAACGTCGCCGAACTTGTTGCCTCGAGTGAGGCAGTAGACTATACTATCTTTCGAAGCACGCCCAAGAACTTGATCATAGTGATCATTCAACTATCAGTCGTCAAAGGTTCGTTTCCTGAGATTGCCCAAATTATACAGGGTATCATCAAGAGCTTTCCTCTGTTTTGCATCCAGCGTGGCTGGAATGTTTGAGGTTCCAGCAGCATTGAGACTTTCCGTTATTGAGTCTTGACCCGCGCTGATACTCAACACACCAGATGACAATTCGAGTTGGATCCTTTCCGCAAGTGTCTGTGGCGAAACAGCACTCGTCCTCCAGGAGCCTCCGGCGCCCTGTTCACGTACGGCATCGATCGACGCAATCAGCGAGCCATTGGGGCCGGAAGTGACGAGATCGAGGACATTTCCCGAGAGCTGCAAATGGCTGTGAAATTTGAGTGTGTAGTCGCTCTCGAAAGTAAAACAAAGGAGACGCGGCGAGCTGTACGGTATGTGAGCGAGAATTTCACCACGACTACTACCAGAAATAACGTACCTTTCGATGGCGACAAAAATCACCTGAGCAGACCCACTGGCGGATTTGACCTCGGTTCCCCAGATGCCACTTACAACTGCCTCTTCAGGGACTCCGTCCAAGGGCACGGTTTGATGGATTCGACCCTCGCTCCAATTCCATGAAATGAGATGGCCCTCTCCGCCTCCAGATACCAGAACATGCGGGGCCCACGGAGGAACGTAAAGCTTAGTTATTAGGGACGTGTGACCCAGACAATACTGTTCAATAACGTGGGCCTGGGGAATTCCTCGCGAGACCCGAATGTGCTCGTCACGATCTGCGGTGAGAATGTAATTTCGCGAGTGATTGCCTTCAGTGCTGGGCAATGTCACGGCGACAATATCAGTCAACATAGAAACATGACCGAGAATCAGCTCATGCTCGAAGTTGAGTACGGTCTTTTCCTCCGGCTCCTCCTGGGTCTTTTCAGCGCGCTCAGCCTGCAGATGCTGTTGCTCCAATGAGCGAAGGTTTCGCTTCGAATGCACAGTGAGCGGAGTTGCAACAGGCTTGGTCTTTTTCGCCTGGGTCTTCGGCTTCACATACTCCCCGGGAATCAGAGGAAGAGAGTAGACGTCGCCGAATTTATCGGCGCATAGGATGATCTGATCATCAGCGGTGAGGTCCAGAGCACAAGGCTTCTTGGCCATGTTCCTAGATTGAGGGTCAGTAAGCCGCGCTTGAAAGGATTGCATCGAACCACCAACCGAGCACTAAGCAGTGAAAATTCGCCAGCCTCGCTGATCTCGAACACTCGAATGCACTTGTCTTCCGCAGTCATGGCTACTACATGATTGCCATTGGAAGTTGACAACAAGATTGGGATGTTAGTCCATGTCGTCAGAGAGCCATTAGAATCACTCTTGCTTGGGACTGAACCGTTGTCTGCTCCATCTTCAACAGGCGATAGCTTTATCTTCTTCCCCGGGGGCGCTTGACCATCCACTTCGGAGGTAGGAAGAGCAGCTACTGTGTGGCTAGGGTCTATGTGCTTGGGCCATACAGCGAGACGCTGACCGCTCTTCGCTGCATAGGAGTAGAGATATGGTCCTGCAGCGGCTACAAGCACACCAGAGTGACCATTTGATTGCCGCGTGACAATCTTCAAGGTTTGAAAGGGATGCTGAAATTCGGCCATGACCAAGTATTTGCCGCAGAACCCTAGGGGAATTGACACAGAGTAACAGAAGGACGAGGCGACGTGACGTGTCACACCTCAAACCAGGCGACAGCGAAGAAGGGGAGGGATAATGAGACAACACTGCGCTGGGATATTCTGCAAATACTCAGCAGAAGACTTTTGGCAATCTCTTGTCTATCCTGCCATCTTCTCGTGACCCCAATCCGCCGTCAAGAACTGCAACTACTGGGAGCGCAACCCAAAGTCACGTGATTAACTAACCGAAGCCGCACCACACAAAAACTCCACAAAACCCGACTCGTCATGAATCTTTCCCTTTGATCAACCACCACCAATCCTTTACCCTTGTCCTTAAACAACCTATCTTCAGGTCAAATAAGAAGAAATGGGGGGCAAGTCCGCAACCAAGGCCGCTTACTTCGATAAGCTGAAGGCCCTTCTCGATGAGTACCGCACCGTCTTCATCGTCGGTGTCGACAATGTCAGCTCTCAGCAGATGCACGAGATCCGTATTGCCCTCCGTGGCCAGGCTGTCGTCCTGATGGGCAAGAACACCATGGTTCGCCGTGCTCTCAAGGGCTTCATCACCGAGAACCCCGAGTTCGAGCGTCTGATGCCCTTCGTCAAGGGTCAGTTCTAATCCACGCCCCATCGGATTTTTTTTTTTTCGATACCCATTCCCTTGGCTCAATTGCTTATCATAAATGATCTTTAGGTAACGTTGGTTTCATCTTCACCAACGGTGACATGAAGGATGTCAAGGAGAAGATCCTTGCCAACCGTGTTGCTGCCCCTGCTCGTGCCGGTGCCGTCGCTCCCGATGATGTCTGGGTTCCCGGTGGTAACACCGGTATGGAGCCCGGTAAGACCTCTTTCTTCCAGGCTCTCGGTGTCCCAACCAAGATTGCTCGTGGTACCATCGAAATTGTCTCCGACCTCAAGCTTATTGAGGCCGGTAACAAGGTCGGTGCCTCCGAGGCTGCCCTGCTCAACCTGTTGAACATCTCTCCCTTCACCTACGGTATGAGCATTGTCCAGGTCTACGACCAGGGTCAGACTTTCGGTGCCGAGGTCCTTGATATCGATGATGAGCAGCTCCTCAAGTCCTTCAGCCAGGCTATTGCTACCATCACTGCTCTGTCTCTGGCCACCAACATCCCCACCCTGCCCTCCGTCATCCACTCCCTCATCAACTCCTACAAGAAGGTTCTTGCTGTCGCTGTTGAGACCGAGATCAGCTGGCCCGAGATTGAGTCCCTCAAGGACCGCATTGCCAACCCCGACGCTTACGCTTCCGCTGCCCCCGTTGCTGCCGCTACTCCCTCTGGTGGTGACGCCCCCGCCGCTGCCGCTCCCGCTGAGGAGGAGGAGGCTTCCGACGACGACATGGGCTTCGGTCTCTTCGACTAAGCGCGCTTTGACTAGTGCGTTCAGTCTGCCATACTTTAGGTACCTCTTTTCGACCTTGTCTTGAGAATAGCCAAGGATCACAAAAACAAAAGACATTTATGATTGTCATGACAGTCTATGCAATTCCCCGTGTGACCATGGTCCGTAGAAACAACGCACCGTGCATACGCCTACATCAATGGTGAGTCTACAATTCCTTCTTTCGTTGTATTTCTTTATCTCCCCTTGTTTCTTCACTTTGGTCAATGCTTGCATACCCACCCTGGCGAATGATGAAACATTTTTAACCCCGAGCAAGTGTCTCCCGCGAGACCGCGCTGACGATTAAAAACGCAACAACAACACTCTAATTTTTTGCTGACGCCATGCCTTGTTTTTTGCTCATCATGTTGAAACATTCACATTTGCACGAGCAATCGCTAACTATCTCTCAGACCTAGATCCGCCGCTGCTGAAGTCCACATTCTTCGAGTGTTCCCATCGTAGCATCCTCGTAGACATCTTGGCATATATCATGCCTTAGTCCAGTGAACGTAACGATTGACCTGATAACGCTTTAGTTGGTTGGCTTCGATGAACTAATGTTGAAAATAATATTGGGTTTATGTCGATGACTTTTGCATCTTTCCACTGGGCGCGTGGACTCTATTTTAAAGGTTAAAACAACTCGATCTGTCAATGCATTACATGCGTACAACTGCTCTCCCTTGTAGCAATCTCATGTTCCCGTCGCTTTCAAGTGTGGTATCTCATGTCAGGTGCACATGTATCCCAAGCTTGCGAGGAACCAGGCCGTTCTACACAAGATCAAGACACCCTCAGACCACCACTTGCCAGTCTCTGCCCTACCACCATAACATTCCATACTAGGGATCCTCGGTACCACGTCCAAATCGCCCACCGAATCCACCCAGATCCCGGCGGAAAAATTTCCCAATATTTTTCAAATTCTCATTCAAATTGCCCGCAGCGGTGATCTCCAACGGGTTCAAGGATCCAGCATGCTGGGCAGATGCACCTGGTGCAGGGGATGCCGTGCCTGACATGACGCCAAACCCGGAGGTAGATGACGACGAGCCTGTGGCTCCCGCTGGAACCGATGACCCAAGAGAGCCAAGACTGGGATTACCGAAGCGGTCGACGCCGTCCTTAGCTGCGGACATGATTGCAGAGCCGAGCATGGAGGCATCGAATCGGGACGGCATCGATCCGGCGCCGCCCAAGCTCAGCCCGTGCGAAACCGATACTGTGGTACTCGCGGCGGGAGCTTGCAGCGCAGTGAGAATGGGGTTGCTCTGCTGGAGAGTGGAGGCATAGCGGTCAGATGCTCGGTGAACCTGGAATAGCTCCACGAGATGGTTTTGGTCCTGCCTGCTACGAATGCCCTTGAGGTCAAGAATTTTGCGGAAGTTGTTGTTGTTTCTGTCCGCGATGTGGATGAGATATGCCTGGACCAGGGCTTCGGGTGGCGATGGGCGGACTTGAAGGGTTTTGAGTAAGGTCTCGATCTTGAAGAAGCTGCTGTTCACACGCTTCACAAAGCCAGCAGGAGCGGGAGCGGGCAGCAATGAGGTGAGGCCACTTTTGAGCGTATACGAATCAAGAAGCATCTGCAGGTAAAGTGTTAAGTCCAATGTAATCTTAGCTCAGAGTCGAGGAAAGGAGGAACTTACCTGTTCGGCGCCTGTTTCAGATACGGGCCTGGATTGGAAAATATTGCTGATGAACATGCTCGACATCATTTCGACCAGATGGTCGGAGAACGCTCGGGCATATTGTTGCTTGTGTAAGAGCTCTAGAATCTCCGAGCTTTTGGCTTTGGTACGTGATAGGAGCTCGCTCACGTACGAGCTCTGATCACTTACTGCTTCAAGCTTACCCCATGGAGTGTTGCGCATCTCTCGCCAGCTGGGTTCTATGTCGACTTCGACTTGTCGGACAAGGCCTCGCACCGCCGCGGATGCAATTCCCATGAAAGAATCGGCTTGGCTTTGAAGATCAACCGACTGCTTCAGAGATTCATCCAATCGATCCTTGATCTTGTCTTCCAATTGAGTACAGGTAGTGTAGCAGTAGTCAGCAGTGTTGAGCACGGAGATCAAGTCCTCAAGGCTCGGCACTTTGGAGGGGGTGTGACCGGTAGGTCTTTCGCTGATATAGTTCAATAGAACCTGCTGGGCGTACATGTCCAAGTACTTAGCGAAGACTTTCGCCAGCTCAGCCAAGCTGCCTCCCGTAGAGAGCTTGGCACATTGCTGTAAAGAATGACGATAGAATGTGAAAAGCTCCGTAGAAGAGCCGATAACAATATGGGAGTTGAATTCCTCGTCGGGAGGGCGCAACGGCTGTTGCCGATATTTCGGTATTAGCGCAGCGAGCTGTTTGTCCTGTGCATCTACCCAGACACTGAGATATGGCTCGAAAGCCTCGGAAATGGACTGACTGAAAACAGGAGTCTCATTCGTGGTGGAGGTGAACGTGTCCGTCGATGGGCGCGATGGAGCGAAGCGTTTCTCGAGGGAATGCTCAAAGTCGAGAGTCTCCTGCAGACAGGCAAGCAAGAGATTGACATCGATCGTCTGACCGCTGCGCACCGACCGGGAAAGAATTCCCTTGAAATCGTCCCTGGTGCCTTCACAAAAGACATTGGCCAGGATTTCATTGACCCGCCACGCAGGTGGGAAGATGGCCGCGTTCTCCTCGTCATAGATCTTGAGTATCCGCCGGAACCAGGAATATCTGCGAGAGATATTGTCCAGTGATCCGGCCTCCTCACTGTTCCGGAAGACCTGTCGATATTCGCGAAGCTGTGTGTTGCAATACCAGGTCACAAGCCGAGATCGAGCGTGGTCTCCCAGCGCGTCCACAACAAGACATGCCTCGGAGAGGATGCCGCGCTTCTGGGAGACCTCGCCCTTGGCGAAGGCGATTTCGAAGTCCTCGCAGACCTGTTCCAACAAATCTCGTTGAATGTCTGCCACATTCTTGCTCAGCATTGCGATTTGATCAATCGACCGGTACGACTTGAAGTGGGCCATGAGTTGGATGACAGCTTGAAGTAGCTGTGCGCAATCACGGTATTGCCGAGTTCGGCTCAGGGCGTGAAGCTGGTCATAAGCAGTTGTGAGCATCTGTAGCCGCTTCAACGCCGTCATGGACAAGGTCAGGTTCTTTTTCGCGTTGTCCAGTTGTTTAATATCGGCGGTCATGTCGGTGATAGCCTGTTCGGTCTTCAATGCCCGCTCGCGAACGTCGTCGATTTTCTTGAACAGCTCGGACAGATCAGCTTTAGCTGTCTGTATCCTTTCCACACTGTCCACATTGGATGTCACTTGTTCCTCAACCAAGGCGCTGATCTCGTTGTCTAGTTCATCCTCGTAGGAGCGGAGGGCGTAGGTGATTTGAGATACGGAGGAGAGGGTAGAAGGATGCGAGAATATGGCATTCAGATGTTCGATGGGGTCATAGTTCACTACTTATTGTCTTGAGTTAGCGGGTCTGAGATTCCTCACAGAGCAAGTCAAGCCTTGGACCCCGTACCTGCATCCAGAGCGTCCTGATAAGACACCTCGTCTAGCGGCATGTGGCCGCTGTTCACGACAGTCATCGCAGCCATTCCACACAACTGTTCAGACACACCTCATCTCGATCTAGGATCCGAGCTCTCAAGATATTTCAATTGGCAAGAATTGCACGCGACGACCAAAGGCGCGAGGGGCACGGTTGGGAGTTCGGGGAGATGTTCGAGTGCGGGTCGCATGTCTGCTGCGGGCCCGATGGCTCGGGCGACGGAGCTATCAGACACTTTGGGTCCTGAGCGGGCGGTTTGCAGCCGAGTCAAAAAGGGTGCACCGGTGCAGCAGTAGTATGTGACTACAATGTTCACATATTCGATATCAGTCGGCTGTACAGACTCCGCCTGGCGTTTTCTGTGAGGACCAGCAGAAGCCCTCAGTGGGCTCGGTCAGTGCATCTGAGGCAACATAGCTTTGACGAGGTGGGACTTATGGCGACATAGGTCAGATCTTTTTGAGTCATCCCAGTCTAGGAAATTATAGATCGTCACAGCGATTCCTGTAGAAAGGGCATATTCGTCGGTAGATTAGACCTGCACAGGTGGACTTTCCGTACGAATTTACATTTTATACCTTTAATGAGAATCTGGCAAGATCTTACAAGAATTGAGGACCTGAGGCCCCGAACTCGGAGGTAAAAGGGACCACTGGCATCTCCAATTACCACTGAACTGCTCGAGGCTTGCTTTTCATTAATTCCTGTGTTTAGTGTACTGTGAAATCCCTGACAGTTTCAAAGGGGCTTTTGAGTCATTGTTTATATATTTAAAGTGTTGATAACTCTGTAATTGACAACGTGCCCGAGTGGTTAAGGGGTTCGCCTGCTAAGCGGATGGCTTCGGTCGCGCGCGTTCGAATCGCGTCGTTGTCGTTTTCCACCACATATTCTGCATTATGACTGTAAGGATTCATTCCATGTCATTCCAACCGCCCTCCCCCTCTTTTTATCTTTTTTTTTCTTTTTGGGCGGCGTGAACTGCAGTGCAGTCCATCACCCAGGTCGTAATACGGCCACTTCAAACACATCCACGGCGAATTGAAAAGGTCTGAAATAACAATCGCCTTTCTCCCCTCATCGTACGGTTTCTGCAGCTTGTGATTCTACCCGAGAAATCCGTGTTGATAAGGCGTCCCTAAATACCGAGCGTCTAATCAACCTTCAATGTCCGGCAATCTTTGGCGCCTACGTCCTTGCCTCTGTTGATCCAGCAATTTCAACGACCTTCACCTGACTACTCAGTCTATTCAGCTTCAGTATTCATTACACCACTTCACCCTCGTCGCCTCTTGTGCTTTATCCGAACGACATGGCAAACTTTTATACTTCGGAACAAACCCTTACCACAATTTCCTGCCCAAATCCGAGCATTTGTGAACATGCAGAAAATTAGACTCCTGACATTGGAAGGTCAGAGGAGAGACAGTCCTTCCGATGAAAAAAGGGCTCGACATATGACACTCAGAATACCCTCTCCAGCACCGATGTGTACCACGGTATCATTTCTAGACGCATAGGTCTCTACAAGGCCGGAGCCTATTGCACATCATGTCCTTTGAGAGGGATGCACGTAGTTGGTTCACAGATTGCTCCTGTAATGAAGCGTGACTTCGTCCTACGGTCCTACATCGGCAGACCCCCTATGCAGGAAGTCCGAGGTCGCTCACAGTTGTATTTGGTTGTTCGTTGCTCGTCTTCTGAATGTCAGAGACCATCAAACAGTTGAATGGGCGTTCGACCCCAGACTCGGTGTTTTAACCCACACGTGGAGTAAACTTGACATTATATGGACCCAGATGATATGATATTGGACAGCCGAACAAGCGAGTAATTTGCAGAGAATCCGAGAATAGGGACGGATGTAAATCAATGTTGTCGCCGCCGCGCTCTGGGGGAGTCTTATGAATGTGACCTCCGGATTATTCAGGACTAGTGGAAGTAGAGGATTTACGCTGGTCGGACAACGTACCTCGGACTCCGGAACACTTTCACATGCATTTTCCTGTCTGATCATCACAAGAATCATACTCGCCCCCGGAGAAATTGCCGGTAGGAACGGGTAAGTACAATGAGTCTGTCCGTAGAAGCTGTACCCGACGGTCTTCCCATCGCTGGACTCCAGACCGTATACAGAACCTCCAGTGCGCTCGACCTAACGAATGGAGATTGTACAGAGTCCGGAAAACTTCACCGCGCTGCCACTACCGATAAAATCTTCAATCTCAGTTTGAAATCAGTGGGTGATAACACTATCAAGCTGATTGGGAAGATATTCCAGTTGGGTAAAGAGCTCTACGACCTGCCCATATAGTCCGAAATGCTGTATGATGTTCGACAAGCTGAGCAAGATGGAGCCGAACTGGTATGAAATGTTTCGATTGCTGTCGACTCGAAAGACCATGCCGAATGGTAGACGATTGACAACTGGGAGGTACAAACTAGTTGTGCGAAACTTCTGGGCTTCGAGGCAACTGAGAAGGGGTTGAGACCTATGTAGTAAATGTTTCCAATGATGTACTCGCCGGGCCTGGAGGCATCGCAACCGACCAGAAATCATAGATACCAAAACAAGGGGATCAAGGGCAGGACGTGTACACCAGTAAAGACTAAAGAGTGGCTTCAGAGGAATTTCGCCGTTATTCGATTGATGTCGGGGCCAGAAGACCAGGAATGGGGATTGTCTGGGCATGATCTGTTGAGCACTGTCTGAGTAGTGCACATGTAGCAGAATCAGCCAATTTGAAGTTGCTGGAGGAAGGGTAAGTTTTAGGTAGGTAGGCAGTGAGTTGGCTGTCATTGTAGAAATATTTAAGACCTGGGGGTGATACTCGAGCTGCAAGAGCGCTACCAAAAACACCAAATGACCTCTTTTTTCACTTTGAAATACATAGTAACAGACAGCCATTCATCTCTCGAGCTCATGCAGTACTTGGTCAAGTTGCATCCAGTCTGTAGTAGCGAATGATTTTCTGGCCGCTTCACATAATCACATTGGAAAAAGCTCCCAAACGACTTTCAACACGTAGGAACTGGTCCAATAAGGCGGAGAGATGTGTTATTCACTGTGAACATGTCGTATCATATCAAATTTTCGATGGACTCAATTTTCTCCTTCAATGTATGCCCAGCAGTGAAATGATGATAGAGTGGATGGGGGGCTTCTCCTGCTGTTTCTTGCATGCTTTCCTCTTTCTCTCCCTTCCGTGTGTCTGTCTCGCCTCCTCACAGATCACTAGTTCAATCGTACCTCTCTCTTTGCTTCCTGTGCGTAAAGCTACCTGCTTACCCACCACATGGTATTTTGGGCTCTATGTTGATGTAGCAGCCATGATCAATAGAGGTAAGGACAGCTTGTAAGATCAAACTGCGTTGTTAGCTACTAATCCTGACCTCGTTATGTCCCCTCGATGGGACAATCAGCCAGGTAGATCATATATCTAATAACGTTTTAGGAAACAACCAAGTATGACAACGTGCCCGAGTGGTTAAGGGGTTCGCCTGCTAAGCGGATGGCTTCGGTCGCGCGCGTTCGAATCGCGTCGTTGTCGTTTCTCTTTTTGCGCTCTGTATGTATCGTGCCCTACATACAATGATACAAAGCTCGTATCTTTCTTAAGCAACTGCATCCTCATCACCCACCCGAGGTACACTCACTTCCCTTTCAAGGTTTACATGTTTCACCTCTGGTGGTCTTTTTGCTTTGTGTCTTATTCTTTTCCTTCCCTTGTGAACAAGCTGCCTTGTGATACCCTTGAAAAAATACATGAGTATAGAGTATAGAGGGATGGTTGTTTCACTTATGACGTCAGAAGACAACGTGCCCGAGTGGTTAAGGGGTTCGCCTGCTAAGCGGATGGCTTCGGTCGCGCGCGTTCGAATCGCGTCGTTGTCGTTTCCTTTTTTGCGCTCCGCGTGTATTTGATCCTACACAGTTTTTGGTTTTTGATCAGCTGCATCTCGCCCCCCTTAATCTACATATATACTCACTCCCCTTTCATCAGGAACTCTCCCCTTATGACATCGACTTTTCTTTTTTTTTTCTCCATCTTGTGAACAAATTACTCCGTGATAGTCTTGAAAAGTACATCAACATCACCAGACCATTAAATTTTCCCATGCTGGGTCTACAGCCGACTGGCGGGAGCTCCGATCAGTTGAGCCAAGCTTCCCGCAAAGTCCTCGGCTGATGCGGGTTCCGCAATTCCACAGCTTTCAAATATTCTCGTTACCTACAGTCACACAGTCGACATGCAGGAACAATTTGAACCCCTTCGGAATGACCTGCTGCTTCGCGCCGCACGAGGTATCTGCCTCTTTTTTCTCATAACCGATGAACGATTGATCTAACAATTGCAGGCGAGAAGGTGGAGCGCCCACCGATCTGGGTGATGCGCCAGGGTAAGCTCGACCCCGCCCTCCCGACTGCCTTTCGTGCACGAGAGCCTCACTGGCTTGTCTGTGAGGTTAAGTGATCTGATAGCTCTCTGTTCGTCATATAGCTGGTCGTTACCTTCCCGAGTATCATGAAGCCAAGGGCAAGCGTGACTTCTTTGAGTGCTGTCGCTCCCCCGAGATCGCCTCAACCCTCACTATCCAGCCGATCGATCGCTATGAAGGTCTCATTGACGCGGCGATTATCTTTTCAGACATTCTGGTCATCCCCCAGGCTATGGGAATGGTCGTGGAAATGGTTGACAAGAAGGGCCCGCACTTCCCCGAGCCTCTGAAGTCCCCCACAGACGGTCAATATGAGAAAGTGATGGCAAAGGATGTGAACGTGAAAGACGAGCTAGACTACGTGTATAAAGCGATCTCTTTGACTCGCCTCAAGCTGAAGGGCCGTGTCCCTCTGATTGGATTCTGCGGCGCTCCTTGGACACTGCTTTGCTACATGGTCGAGGGTGGGGGCAGTAAGATGTTCATACAGTCCAAGACCTGGGTTTACAAGTACGCCAAGGAGTCACAAGCCCTGCTGCAGAAGATCGCTGAGATCTGTGTTGAATACCTGGCTCTACAAGTCGCGGCTGGTGCTCAGTTGGTGCAGGTCTTCGATTCATGGGCCGGCGAGCTCTCGCCTGCGTCCTTTGCCTCCTTCTCGCTCCCTTACCTGCGTCACATCTCTGCCAGTCTTCCTCGTCGCCTGAAGGAGATGGGCCTGGAGCCCGTCCCCATGACTGTCTTTGCCAAAGGCGCATGGTACGCTCTGGAGGACTTGTGCGAGTCTGGATACAACGTCGTCGGTCTGGATTGGCTTCATGATCCCGCCGAGGCCTTTCGCATTGCCAATGGTCGGGTTGCCATCCAAGGTAACGCTGACCCGGGAATGCTCTACGGTAGCCGCTCAGCCATCACCGAGACTGTGGAGCGCATGGTGGAAGGTTTCCAGAAGGGCAAGCAAGGCTGGATCTGCAACCTCGGACACGGTATGTATACATCACTTGATACTCGGCGTTGCGCCAATCTGGAAAGAATGCTGACCTCGGAGAAAGGTATCACCCCATTCGTGAACCCCGACGACCTCAAATTCTTCTTCGAGGAAGTGCACCGCCTGACCAAATAGGCTATGTTGAAATAGTCTGGAAATGGGAGGACGACCTAGTGCTAGAAGGTGGATTGTCCGTTTGTTGGGCACCAAAAAAAATTACAAATCGGATTCCTAGACTCGCCTCTACAAAAAATCTGTAATTATCCCCCATTCTCAAGATGATCAAACGGAGATATCCTCGTTCCTGCGAAATCAAATGGCCAAGTTAGTAGAGTTCCAATTGGGAGAAAGGCCACACATTTTGGGCTTGCATGACCGAGTCGATGATATAGGTGCCAAATCGGCTTACCATAGCTCAGGCTTCTCCTTGATGAACTTGGCCATCATG